GGTGTGGGATGAGGAGAGATGGAGATGTGCTGATTATCAAAGGGGAACAAAGAATAAATCGACGAGAACCGCCACCATTCGTCTGGAGAACATGGGCTGTCGACGAGTTTGACGTACGTCTTCCCAAAAAGTTCCTAAAGACGAGTCCTAAACTATCCCCCTTCAGCGCCCAACCGCTTTCAAGTCGAATGGAACCATGAAGGCCAACACGACCGGCATCCAGACCCAACCCAATTGCGTCTTGGCAGATCAAGTACAGCTTACGGGTGGTCAAATTACAGGAAGCGGCGCGGGCTGTCAATTTAGTGCTACCTCGGCTGCTGCAGGCGTCGACTATGGCGTAAATGTGGTCGGGGCATGCAACTTTGAACAGTCAACCCCACTCCCTGCCCCCGTTAAACCCGTTGCGTTCTGGTTCACCAACCCTGGTGGGAGCCCGTCGTCTGCCGCGGTAGTCTGCACTCCCAAATTGTCATTGCACAATGTTACCATTACCTTGAATCTTGCGAATGGTCAACTTATCGATGTGACACCCATTGGGGACTATGATCTTCCAACGAACGTGACATCTGGACCTCCACTCAACGGTCGAGTGTGGAATGGGGTCGAGTTCAATACGACAAATGCCGACGCCGATACGCTCCTCCGAGCCAACACGACGCAACTCCAATTGGCCTCCTCGGTATTCAACTTGTTGCAAAGGAACACTTATGACAAGGTGTTGGGAGATGCGGCTCAAATTGTCAATATTACTGCGACGAGATATCAACTCTTCCTCGCCCTCTCCGCTCGTTCAAACTTTTTTGTGACGGATAATTCGGGGACGCATTTACCGGTGGTTATTAAAGAGATCCAACAGAGATTATGGATGGAGTACGTGCTCACCGACCATCGGGTGCTTGGCAATATCTAACCCGCGCTCCTTTTTTTTGAATTACAGGAGACTGGCAACTCACTTGCTCACTGTTGTATTGATCCTTGGTGGTATTGTGGGTGGCTTGGTACACTACCTGCATTACATGGAACGACGAGACCTCAAGCTTTATGCGGCTCCGGGATCCATTGCGGTCGCCGCGTCTGTCACGACCGACTCTCCAGTACACAATATGCTTCGTAGCGGAATGGACGCTAACAAGATGAGGGACGCGCTGAGTGGCGAGACATTTGGTGTCGATAATACGGGCCGGATAATATTAGCGCGTGATGTAGAGCCGTGAGTATCTCTCTCTCTCCCCTTTCAACCGCGCTCTCCTGCCAACCATTGATTTGTTCTATTTCTGACCTCGTACCCTTCTCTCTTTTGTTACAGAAAATCGGATGGCGAGCGCCGGGATGCGATGTGGAAGAGATTGAGCGGGGTAGAGTTGAGAAAGTAAAAAAGAAAAAGAGACACCGAGATCGCCTCTCCTATGCATTATTGTCATCGCCATTTCTCCAATATTTAACCACTCTTCATCTTCGTTGCTGTGCATTTTACATACACGATTTTTTGCTCTACTTTGTTATAGACACTGGTCTGCCGTCTATCGGCCGGACTTTGAAGCGGATTTATATATACACGACCCTTCTATTATTAGATACGAGATCTGTGTGATTGACTTGATTTCGGCGTAACAGGCTTTGGCATTGCATGTGGCTCAGACCGGCCTTTGTTGAGTTGAACCCAGGCCAATTCGACGGCCATTCACTTGGCTTGTTCTCGTCGCCTTTGGATTCAAAAGCAGAAACAATCCGAACACGTCCTCTCAGATCTCTCTCTCCTCTTTCTCCTCCTCCTCTCCACGTCTTTCCGTTTCTGTTTCTTGAACGTCCAACAGGCACGCGGCAACGCGCGGTACCACTCACGCTCTCTCTCTCTCTGCTCGGTTCCTCTTCGTGCTATTACATACTATACCTAATGTGGTCCCTTGGGCGACCATCGGTCTCGTCAGTCCTGGGAGCACTGGCGATTGTACCCTTGCTTCTAGTGGGTGATAGGGTCGTTGCGAAACCGTGTGTGGGTTTCGACTCCAACTGGGGACTGTACGTATTCGGGCTTGACCGTGATGTCAGCCTTGGGCCGTCTAGCAACTGGAACGCCAATCGTATGTTTGTTACTTGGATGGATGGTTTGTCTGTGGGAAGCTAATGAAACATCTTGGGAGCAGCTCTCGGCATGTCCAATTTGACGCGAACAGGCAGACCGTACGTCGGTGATATTGCATACCCCGCCCGCCTCTTTTCCTACCCCTCTCATCTGTCGATTTATCCGCCCTCCGCTACACGCTTACTGATAACTGTCCCATCATTTCTAGACCTTTCAATGGCACGAATACTCAGTGCTTTCTCTCGCAGGTAGGTCGTCTTCTGCCCTTGTTACCCCGCATTCGCCAGTTGCTAACTCTCGGAGTTTAGTTCTCGAATGCGCTCTACGTCCTAGACGCCGATACGACCCAGCCTAGCAACATACACATCTTTAGCTTTGATTCGCAGAGCTGGACGACGCAGGGAGTTGCTGCCAATGGCGTAGATCCCAAGAATGTTACCGCGATCCTGGATCGCGACACCAACGTCTTCTTTGGCCTCTCTAACTCTCAACTCTACTCGCTCGATATGGGTGATTTGTCACATGCAGATGGAGGTACCCGAGGATGGGGATATGTCCAGAATCCGCCATTCGCGCAGAATGGTGCTTACCCCAGTCCGGTCATGGCCCTCGCACAGAACCACATTCACTTTTTGAACGTTGGAGCGGCTGCTACTGTCAATATCTTCGTCATCCATTTCTCGTATATGCAGCCCGAACAGCAAGTCTTTGCTCCCAGTGAAAATGGTGGACAGGGATTCCCCTCTGTAAAGGGCCATACCGCCACCATCTTCAAGGATATACAGTCGACGCCTCAAAAGTTTGCATTCATTCCCGATGACGGGAGTGCGACCTTTATCTTTGATACGGTGGTACGTTTCTGCCAAGTCTATTGAATACGAGTGTTCCTGACGAGCCTTCTAGTCAAATACAACACAGAGGATGCAAGGACCAACGGATAAATCGACAGTGATGCTCGCTGCCAGTCAAACGGAATTGGTCCAGATGACAACCTCAGGCGAGGTCTATTGGATTCCATTGAACCAAGACGACCCCGCGCCCAATGCTAGCGCTGCTTGGAAAAAGCTTACCTTGCCATTACATTTGCCCGCCGCGTCGACGAATTCGACGAGGTCTGCAGACAACACTCCAGCATCGACGCCAACACCAGGTTCTTCCAGTTCTTCGGGCTCTCGGACTATGCGAACGGGTTACGATACGTTAGTTGTAGGTATAATGACACTGGGACTTGGGATTTGCGGACTTTTAATCTCCTCATGATACAAACAATTGCTCTCTTACTAACCACTCTTATTTATACCACCTCTTGTCAACATAGTGTTGTCCTATCAGTTCCACGCGCTCCCACATCTTTTCTATTTGGTATCCCATGATCCCCTCTATCATCTCTGCTTGTGTCTGGTTATGGTGGTACTATGGGATTTGTATACTCTGCTTTGCAAATGTAATGGTTTCGTACATTGGCGCGACCGACGGATATTCTTTGAGATGCAAGCGCATGAAATCATTTGCTTCCCAAAGGTAAAGGGCGCACCAAGAGTGCGCGAGCATTAATCTGTACTCACAATGGAGGCGGACCGAAATGCAAAAGGTGTTCGCCTCGACCGAACAGGTGTAGGCCTCTTTGCCAGAATTCTTGTCCCCTCCTACCTCGAGTAATCTTAAACACGACGGGCGACGGCTTGCTCCATCTTGGTCACCCTGGAGCACCTCTAATCGCCCATCTTTGCATCAAAATCACCGAGCTTCTATGGCCTCGCTATGTTGCCCATCAACCAAGGCGTATCGTGACCGCCCAAATCAAGCTCATGAGGCAAAGTTTACTGCATTTTTGAATATATACCCCAGTGTCATAGTTGAATCATCTGGATCCAGTGCCTCTTCGATCAAGAAAGCCTATCCGTTTATCGTGCAGCTCCTAGAGAAACAGGTATGACGTTATTCCACTTTTGAATACTTGGGTTTTCTCTTTTTTTGGTGAGGTTGTTTCGACTCATTTTTCATCTGTCCTTTCCGTTTCAAGGGTGATGATGCACCAGTTCGCAAACGCTACTTTGCCTGCCAGGAGGTGGAGAAACCGATGGTCCCTCCCATCTCTACCCACACCAGAAAGAAGTCAGAGGGCTCTTCGGTCCCTATTTATCGACCTCCTATCAATTCTACAACATCGACTAATGCACAACCCATGAGAAAGGCTTCATATTCCTTTGGTTTAAGCAAGGCTCTACTACCCAACTCCCCCCTAAGGGCAACCCACAATGATCAAGAAAACAAGGAATAGTTATGGATATGGATACAGACAACTTCTTTTGTAGTCGCCTGGACTCTCAAACCTTGGTGGCGGTTCTCGTCGATTTATTCTTTGTTCCCCTTTGATAATCAGCACATCTCCATCTCTCCTCATCCCACACCCGAAAAGCATTGCTACATCCCTACCTCTATCCATAGAATGCACTTTATCATACTGACTGTATTATCTGCTTTCTAAAAGTTTATTGCTCAGGCTTTTATCACGCGGATATTAAAAAAAGACAGCTACATCGAGTACTCTAAATATCGAATTCTTCTCCACTTCGGACGTACAGATACAACTCAAAAGCGGAATTATGTACTGGACATTTGAACATTTTAGAGTGTCGGTCCTTGAGCAAGCCCGATTTGCTAAGCGTAGCTTCTTGGATCTCGACAAACTGTATCGGACCGCTCTGTTTCCAAGGTGGTATTGTTTCGGATTGGATGGGCGGAAAGAAGTCATCATCGTCTTGGGTGACCAGAGACGCGACTTGATGGCTTATACGCGCCCCATCCATTTCGTCACTCCCGTCGCTGATGGTGGCGGTATCCTCATCCTCATTACCAAGCATGGCAAATCGATTGTTCCATGTGGAGTCGGTCGCATTGGACGCGGACTCCCAAGCGCTCGTGTCCCTCTCCGATTGCGAGACCACGCTGCCCGGGGATCTGACGCCACTGGGTGGACCCCGTCTAATGCTATCCCCCGCATTTCGCGAGTGACTAAATAACCCCGCACCTCCTCCCTTCCCGAAATGGTTTCTTGATGTGGTCGGGCTTGTGCTCGTGTTCGTAGTCTTGCCTGCCGTACTTCTCCAACTAGAGCTATTGTCTGCGGCATCTGTTGTAGCCCAGTTAGCCGAGTTGCGTCGTACGCGCGATTGGTTGTTGTTGTTGCCCCAGTAGGAGGACGAGCCTGTGGGTGAGCGCGGCTGATTCCAGCCTGAACCAAAGGAATATGAAGCCTTTCTCATGGGTTGTGCATTAGTCGATGTTGTAGAATTGATAGGAGGTCGATAAATA